GTTTTTTGAAGTTTTTTCTGTTGTAATATAGCCACCCGCAGGTCTGTCACTGAATGACCAGACAGGTTAAAGTGTTCTCCCACTGGTTTTTGACCTAGTACAATTTTATTAACCTAGTACAATTTTCTTTGACCAGTGGGGAAAAAAAGCTTAAAACCAAGGAATTATACTTGCCTTTTTAAAATATATTTGAGAATGCAGACAGAGAAATAAAACATTAAAATTTGTAAAACCCCTAACAAAAGACTATCTGGTTGTAAGAATATGTGAGAACAATGTAGAATAAAAATCTTACCTGTGGCAATTAAAAATTTCTCTCCATTTATCTAGTTTTGAAATTTTGCTGGTTATCCATTTGTTGTAAGCTGTGTTCGCCATTGGATGCCTCCTTGTCCATCTGTACTCTGCACAAAAGTATGGGATGCAAACATTAAAAATCAGAATATAAACTCCCTTGTATCTAAAAGAGAAATGACCCTCTTGACACATATGCCTAAATGAAGTGTCCTAGCTCATACTATCAGACCCCGATTAAACTTTTATTAGAGTGGGACATAGTCTGTTTTTTTCTGCTCACTGTATATATAGCATGAATGTTTAATCCAAGACACAGATTTATACAAAAACAAACTGCAATTACATATCTGTTTCAGAGAAATCTGAATAATTAACTTGATGGCACTAGGCTTGAGAAAGTGTAATCAAAGTGCATCCGAAGAAGTGGGCTGTAGTCCACGAAAGCTTATGCTCTAATAAATTTGTTAGTCTCTAAGGTGCCACAAGTACTCCTGTTCTTTTTGTAATCAAAGTGATTATTTTCATATAGCACTGTAGGGAAGCCTACCTAAGGACCAAATCTTAATTCTATTCAAGCTGATGGCTAAATGCCCATTGACTACAAAGAGACCACGATTTGGACCTTAAGGAATGCTTGGTGCTGGAATACATTTCCCGAGGAACACATTTACTAAACAGATGTCTATAAACTCTGACACATTCAACACAGCGATGTTACTGTGGGAGACAAGCTAGTAAAAAAGATGAAATTTAAGCTGAAGACTGACACCCTGTCTTTGTCTGCCCCCCCACTTGTCAGTGTTTAGAGTTGGCTGTTGAAAGAGCAATGGTCATAGAGTGTCTCCACATCTGATAATTGTAGGCCTCTCCCACAGGAATGATTACTTTTTTCTTTTCTGCAGACTTCTGATATTAGTAGAATAGAATTGTTCTGCAATCCAAAATTGACCTCTGTGGTCAGCCTATACTGAGGCTTATTTAAAGCATGCTGTAATGGTGCAGTTTATGTAAACAAGCTGCAGTAAGCCAAAATCCTTGTGCCTG